GAAAAATTAGTAAGATTAACAAAGTAGCTGGATATAAAATTAAGTCACAAGAATCAGTAGCCCTCCTATATACAAATGAAAAGCAAGCAGTCTGAGAAAGAAATCAGAAAAACAACACCCTTCACAATCGCTTCAAATAATATAAAAATATCGTGGGGTAAACCTAACCAAACAAGTTAAAGAGTTGTATGATAGGGGCTCAGAGGTTAAGAGCACTGGCTGCTCCTCCAGAGGTCCTGAGTTCAATCCCCAGCAACCACATGGTGGCTCACAACCATCTATAATGCCATCTGGTGCCCTTTTCTGGCCTGCAGGAAGAACACTGTACATAATGATTTAAAAAAAATAATAATAAAGAAAAGAAAAAAATACCTGCAGGCAAAACACTCAAAACACATTTATTTGTTGTATCCGCTGTCTGGTGCCCTCTTCTGGCCTGCAGGTACACATGCAGGCAGAACACTGTATACATAATAAATAAATCTTAATAAAAGGAGTTGTATGATAAAACTTTAATTGAAGAAGATATTAGAAGATATGAAGAACTTTCATGCTCATGGATCACTAGGGTTAATATAGTGAAAATTGTCATCATACCAAAATTAACCTACAGATTTAACCCAATCCCCACCAAAATTCCAATACAGTGATTTACAGATGTTCAAAGAACAATTTTCAGCTTCATATGGAAACAGAAAAATCCCAGGATAGCTAAAACAATCCTGAATAAAAGAACTGCCAGAGGTACCACCATCACCAATTTCAAGTTGTACTATAGAGCTGTAGTAAGAAAAACAGCATGATATTGGGACAGACACAATGATCAATGACATCACATTGATGTCAGACCCCACCCGGCCCAGACAGACAGGACTGACAGATTGCTAGCTCTCTCTCACTGCCACACCTGTATTGTCCTAGCTGGGGTTTCCCTGTAGTCACAGACCCTAGGACACTGTGACCTGCTGCAGGAGCAGCGTGCAGGCAGACACGGTGCTGGAGGAGCATGGAGTTCTACATCTCGGTCCGCAGACAGCAGCAGACTGTGTGCCACACTTACTATAGCCTGAACACAGGAGACTTCAAAAAGCTTGTCCCCACAGTGGCGCACTTCTTCCAACAAGGCCACGCCTTCTAAATAGTGGCGTGCCCTATGGGCCAAACATTCAAAAAATAAGTTTATGGGGGCCATACCTATCAAACCACCACACCTATGGAAACATGATTTTTGATAAAGAAGCCAGAAATACACAACGGAAAAAAGAAAGCATCTTCAACAAATAGTGCTGGTCAAGCAGGATGGCTGCATGCAGAAGAATCCACACACACTCAAACTCATCACCGTGCACAGAACTCCAAATAGATCAAACACATCAGCATAAAACCAGATACACTGAACCTAATAGAGAAAAAGTGGGGACAGCCTGGAACTCATAGGAACAGAACACCAACAGCACAGGCACTAAGATCAACAATTAATAAATGTGAATCTCATGAAACTGAGAAGCTTCTGGATGACAAAGGACCATCCTTTAGTAAAGCAGCATCCTGGGGTATGCAAAAAGATTTTTTTACTAACTGCACATTCGACTAATAACCAAAATATATAAAATAACTAAAAAAAAAAAAAAACCTAAAAAATCTTAAACTAAAAAAGTTAGATATCAAGAAAATAAATAACCCATACAAAAATTGGGGTACACATCAAAACAGAGTCCTCAAAAGAGGAAACTCAGATGTCTAATGAAACACTTAAAGAAACATTCAACATCCTTACTCATCAGGGAAATATAAATCAAACTATGGTATTCTCCCTTAGAATTCTCAGAATGGCTAAGATGAATAAAACAGTGACAGGACATGCTGGTGAAGATGGGGAGTAAGGAGACTACTTATCCATTGCTGGTGGAGTGCAATCTTGTACAGCTACTATGGAAAACAGTGTAGTGCTTCCGCTCTTGGGCATATAGCTAATGGACACTTCATCCCATAAAGACGCTTGCTAAGTCATTCTCAATGCTGTTCTAGTCCTAACAACCAGAAACTGGAAACAACTAACATATACCTCAAGAGAAGAATGGATACAAAAAATTTTTTTTACACTGACACAATGTAAAAACTTTAACTCAGTCGCTAAGAAAAAAAAAAAAATTCACAGGTAAATGGATGGAATTAGAAAAGAAAAAATTGTCCTGAGGGAGGTATCACAGACCTAGAAAGAGAAATATGATCCGGTGCCTTGCTCAGCCATCATCAGAGAAGCTTCCTTCAGGGAGCAGATGGGAGCAAATACAGAGACCCACAGCCAGACACTGTGCAGAGAATGAGAGGCTTGGAACACTCAGCCCTATCAAGTCCCTCCCCCAGAGCACAGGAAACCCTTTGGAAGTGCAAACAGAAAGAGCGTAAGACCAGAGGGGATGGAGAACACCAAGAGAACACTGTCCTCTAAAAGCAACCTGAGAACTTGAGGAGACAAGGCCTGCCAGGTCTACATCAGGTCCTCTGTGCATATACTCTGGTTCCAGGGGGGGTTGTTTGTTTGTTTGTGTTCGGCTTTTTTGTTGTTGTTGTTTACTGTGCTTTTTGTTTGTTTGTTTTTCAAGGCAGGGTTGTTGGCTTTTTGTTGTTGTTGTTGTTGTTTTGTTTTGTTTTCTGTGCAGCCTTGGCTGTCCTGGACTTGTAGACCAAGCTGGCCTCGAACTCACAGAGATCTGCCCGCCTCTGCTTCTCCGAATGCTAGGATTCCAGGTCTGCGCCACTGCGCCCAGCTTGGTTTCCAGTTTTTAAGTGGGAGTCCTCTGTGTGCAAATGAGTGGATCCTTGTGCCTTTATCTTGGGCTCTTTCCTTTCTGTTTGTTTTATCTAACTCAGATGTATTAATTTTTTTTATCTTATATTTCATTATTATCCCTTAGAAACCTGTTTGTTTGGTAATGAGAGACAGAAAGGGAGTGGAGAGGAGGTTAGGAAGAGCTGGGAGGGGTAGAGGAATGAGAAACCATAATCAGGATATATTATGGGTGGGCGGGGGAATCTTTGCAATAAAAGTGGGCAAAAAAAGACAGTAGCAAGAGTTAAGTTCATAGCTACAATGTTTATATATAAATTCAAAATAGGAGTTAAAAAAAAAAAAAAGCTATCTGAAGATATATGAAAGAAGCCAGTCTAAAGAGGAAGACCTGAAGCCCTTTCTTCCTGGGACTTTTACTAAAGAACAGAGCATGCTCAAGAAAAACTCGGTACACAAACTTCGGAGAGGCAGATGTTTTGCAAATATCTCTGAAAATGTCTCAAAAAGCAAGGACTGCATTTCCTCCCTCAGCCCTTGGGTGCCCCTTCCTCAGGTCACTAGTTGCTGCTATCCTTGGGAGGGCCTTTCCCTTCTCATTAAGATGTCTGTATTTCTAACTACGTCTCTCTAGTGTAACCCTTCAGTCTAGGAAACAAGATTTTGTGAACAGCCCCTCTACTCACACCCAGGTCTCAACACTTAGAAAGTGTGCTTTCCTGGATTCCCTGGGCTTGCTCACTGTTTCTCTGCTGTCCATGCTGAACTTAAAAGGCATTCTGTTTTGTTTTTGTTTTTGTTTTTGTTTTTTGTCCTCTCTCCCATCTTATGACAAATGCCAATATTTAAAGCTTGCCTGTCCTGTTTTCTTTTCCCCCCTCAAACTCGATTTGGTTTCCTTCTAAGTTCATCTGTCATTTTTCTTCTTTTAAGTTAAAGAAACCCAAGAGCCAAAAAAGTCATCTCAGCTTCCCTGGAGACATACTGAGAACTCAGACACACGTCAAATAAACATCTGTAGTTAATGACGCAAACACAGGTCTTAGAAAAACAAGAACAAGCCAGATGCAAAAGCAAAAACAGCAAGAATTTTTTAAAAAAAAAGATATGGGAAGAAATAAACAAAATAGTGACAGAATAATACATTCAGCGATCTCAATGTCAGAAGTGGTTCTTCAAAGGAGAAAAAAAAACAACAGTAAAACAGACAAAACTCTAGTCAAACTAGAAAACGAGGGAAGATACAAATTAATAAAATGAGTCACAAATTAGGGGAGGTTACAAGAGATTTAGAAATGCAGAGAAGCAAAGTGGTTAAATTCCGAGTCCCATACAACAAGCTAAAATTAAATCAAGTGTTACAAACAACTCGAGCATTTGTAACATTGAAGTGAAACAGGCATAATAAAAAGCCCCCCCTTCAGACTGTTCCAGTCCAGAGCCAAACAAGCCACGTTTCTATTTTCACAATTAAATTCACCTTATCTCATGATTTTTTCACAGCCAGCATGCTAGAAATATTTTCCAATAATTCCACTTTTCACCGATTCACAATCAGTGAAACCAAATAATTTTGAAGCAAACTAAAAATCCTCTCCTCCTTGCATGTCTGGGCATTTTCTTCCACTCTCAGCCCAGAGGGAGCAAACAAATCCTCCTGCAGTTAACACCGAACAAGCAAATACGAGGATGCCTGGACGGGGTTGCAGTTCAATGATAAAAGGTCTGCGAAGAATGAACAAGACCTGAGGGCCAATGCCCAGCATATATACACATATACACATATATGTGTGTGTGCGTGCATGTATATATGTATGCGTGTATGTGTATATGTATATATACATATATGTAAGACTGTATATATATGTACGTGTGTGTGTGTGTGTGTGTATGTACGTATCCATACATCGTGCGCTCATCGCTGACGCTCCTGCCCAGCCACCTGAACGCCGCAGAGCATCACTGGCGATGCAGTGGGTGAGGAGGGGAAGTCTCACCCTGAAACCACAGGGGACTAGGGGACACAGCTTCGGAAGGGCAGGACGGGGCAGGGTACGGCCTGACCGACAGGACCGGACCCCAGGCTCCGCAGCCTGCTCTGCCCGCGATACCCTCTGCAGCGCGGCGCCGGGGGAAGTGAGGGCGGCGGCGCCCCTCGGTGACACGCCCGCCGCGCACGCCTCCGGGAGCCCGGGACACACTCACTCACCATTGCCCTTTTCGGACGGGAACCGCGGTCTCCCCGAAGGGCCCGCGGTCCGCAGAGGGCGCAGCCGCCGGCCGGGCCGGCCCCGCTGCAGCTCCGCGGGACTCAAACCGGGCGGCGATGGCGGCACCCTCTGACTGTCCGCGCTCCTCATTGGGCGCGCCGCGCGCCGGAGCAACGCTGTCCCTGATTGGTGACCGGCGCCCGCACATCTGCTCCGCACGCCCTTCTGGCACGGTCAAGTGGAACTCAGCAGACAGACCGACTCGCGGTATTCCGGCCAGCGACAGGTCCTAAAAGTCTGGGCACAGGGGTCTTCTCTGAGACTGATACTCCAGCCAAGGACCATGCATGGAGATGGCCTGGAACCCCTGCACAGAGGTAGCCCATGGCAGCTCAGTCTCCAGGTGGGTTCCATAGTAATGGGAACTGGGACGGTTCTGACATGAACTGATTGGCCTGCTCTTTAATCACCTCCCCCTGGGGGGGAGCAAGCCTTACCAGACCACAGAAGAAGACAATGCAGCCAGTCCTGATGAGACCTGATAGACTAGGGTCAGAGGGAAGGGGAGGAGGACCTCCCTATCAGTGGACTGGGAGAGGGACATGGGTGGGGAAGAGGGAGGGTGGGATTGGGAGGGGAGGAGGGAGGGTGGCTCGGGGGGATAAAAAGTGAATAAACTGTAATTAATGAAATAATTTAAAAAAAGAAGAAATAGAGTATTAAAAAGTGTGTGTGTGTGTGTGTGTGTGTGTGTGTGTGTGTGTGTGTGTTTCGGGACGCACTAACTTCCTAGTGTACTCAGTGGGGTCCTCGTGCCTTTTCTCCACTTACACCACTCTAGCTGTTCCGAACATTCTGGACTCGGTGGCACAGGACAAACCCGAGGGCATCGTGCCTCCAGCCGCACGGAGAGAGGCTTGCCCGGCTTTGGGTTCCGGGGATGCAAACGCGAGTCCTCCCGAAGGGTGATGAGGCATCGTACCAGCCATCCCCCCTCCCAGCCCTTCCCTCGGCCTGCGACGCGGGTTGTCACCGCTCTGCTTCCTGCAGTGTCTGAGTTTTATAGCACGTGGGGAATGCTGAATGCAGACTGGACGTTCAGCGTGACGGACTTCTGTGGTGGTCAAGATTATAGATGCATTTCACCAGACCCCCTGGAAATGGTGTGTTATAACGTCAGGGTGGCGGCGGAACACACTGCCCCACTTCTTGATATTAAGATGTTGAGTTTCTGTGGTGAAGGAAGCAATACAAGGCCGGTAAACTCCTAGAGTTGAATCCTTAGGGTCTCTGCCTCCTCACTGGACTGCACTACACAGCTGGGGGAGGTAGAGGGCATCCCCAGCAACCAACGCATGTTTTATAACTCTGGAGTACTTGGGGAATGCTACCCCCATGTAACTATTTCCTCTGTTCATTGAATAATCGTATTTCCTTGTTGGTGCGATTTAGTTCTCCTGACAAGAAACGGATATATTGAAACAAAAGATATGAGAAAGCTTGATTATCTGTACCACCCCAGAGTCTGAAATCTGTGTATCTAGTCTACAACACCTCCTTCTGCCTGGGCTGCCTCGTGGGGACAGACGCATGGCGTACCTAGGCCGCTTATTGGCCAGCCAGTTTTGACAGCTGAGGAGCTTCAGGTTCAATGAGAGAGTATGTGTCAAACACAAAGGTAGAAAGCAGTCAAGGAAAACACGCTGCGTGTCCCTCTGGCCTCCACATACATGAACTCACAAGAACGCATGCACATACCCACAGTAACGAGTACATCTGGCGCGCACACGCACGCACACACACTGTTTGTCAGGTGATGGGTAACACCTCTGTCTGTTTTTTTTCCACTTTCTAGTACTTGGGAGTAAATGCGTGCTAAGTGAGCGTCGCCTCTCCTTAGACTCAAGGTAGGTCCTCGGGTTGGAGTCATCGCTGGCCAGGCACTCCAGGCCACTGACCTGTTCCACACCAAACCTCACTAAGTTAAAAGAGACAAAGGTGTTGAATCTAAGTTCTTGAAGAAAGACCACAAGAGTCCCCAACAGTTTGCTTATAAAGAAGATAATGAAAACTAACATACTGTACATGAACCCCAAAACTGGTAAATATTATTTGAATGAAAAATAACATCCACGAACCACTTTTTATATATATATATATATATATCTACTATATCTGCTGGCAGAAAACTAGGCCCAGCAGGCGCTCTGGAGAAGAGTTTGATGAAAGAATGTGTTGAAGGTTCTTTCTATCTCTCTCTGTCTCTGTTTGTGAACATGATGGGGAGGGGGACATGAGCATCACACCAATGAAAACTTTCCTTCCAGACTCTGGGATTATGACACTTGAGTTAGAAAGCAGAAGAGCTGGAGTCCGTGGTCATAGCATTGTGGTGGAACACAATATTAGAAAAGGCTTTATGTTAGCTAAGTACAGTTGAATCAATGTAAAGCTCAGAAATACATACACATTTTTCTACATATAAAGTGCTACAGTAATGTGAGGGAATTATTGTCACAAATGTCAGCACAAAAATACCCTGTGTGGAGAATTTTGGACAGGATGTAGGCTTAGGTTTTTCACCTAACCTACTTTTTTTAGGGTTCTTAAATGCTTCTACCTCCCTTTTACCACTAACCAGAGGTAGGGGAGAAAGGTTATTTGGTAAAGGCGGTTGTAGATCTTTTTAGAAGTAGTTCCTTGGGCTGAGTCCACTCTTCGTTGTTTGGATACCAGCAGTCCAGTCCAAAGGCCAACACCAAGCAGCAACATGAATCAACACGATTCAGAAGATCGGGACAAGTCAGCAAGAGCCACAAAACTCAGCTGAATTGCCCTGAAAAGTTCTCTGGAACATTTCTTTCCACAAAGCCAAGTGTCAAAGCAAAGAGATCAGCACACGATGTCGATCCAAAATGCGATGTCTCGCTGTCCATGGGCCTCTATATACATCCTCTCCTCAGAGTTCAACCATGTGTTGTTGTTCAACCATGTGTTCAACTACGTGTTCTCATGACATGGCCAAAGTCATGCTGCTTGCACGGGACAACTCACGGCAAAACATCATGGGCGCTCTCACAAGACAGCTTCCGGCAAAACACCACAGGACTCAGCTCAGTCTTCAAAGAAACGAGAAATTCCCACTTCAGAAGGATGAGGGTGCACTCACTAACAGTCTGCGATGCTAAGCGTTGTGACACAGAGGATAAGCACATGGAGTCCTTTTAAATATACTCATTACTAACGACATTTGAGGGGCTCAGCGGTTCAGAGCACTTATTGCTCTTACCAAGGACTTGGGATTGATTATAAGTGTCCACAGGATGGTTCACAACCATCCTAACTCCAACCGCACAATCACTGTCTTAATTTCATAAGCACCAGGTACTTACACGGTACATACATACATACATACAGGCAAAACGTTCAGACACATGTAATAAAATAATCTTAGAATTTTTAAAAGAAGTATACTTAAAGACAGAGGAAAAGGGATCATTATGAATTGTTAAAGAGAATATAAATTAATACAGATATCATGAAACTAAAATACAAAGGTTTTTCAAAAAAAAAAAAAAAAAACAAAACAAAACTCAAAATTGCCAGCATGGTGTACACCTTTCATTCCAGCACCCAGGAGGCAGAGGCAGGTAGTTCTCTGTGAATTCAAGGACAGAGAGTTCCAAGACAGCCAGGGATAAACAGAGAAACCCTTTCTCAAAAACAAACAAACCAAACCTCAAAATTGAACCACTCAATGATCCCAAAACAGCCCTCTTTACTATAAAAGGAAAAGGAAAGAATTTTAGCATACATAAGAAATGCATGCACATTCATTTTTATTGTAGCACTGTTCAAAAATAACTAAACTGTGGAATCTGCCTGAAACTTGTCAAGACACAAAGGAAGAGAATGTTGTATATGTACTAAACTATATGCATATAGACAGATATAAATACTCATGCATAATACATACATACATGCATACAACTGACCATACAGAAGAGCAAAATCATTTTCAGGAAAAGAGATGATACAATGATGTCTCTAAGTGAAATAATCAAGACAAGAAAAACTATCATAGGCTTTTATTTATATGTGGAAAATACAATACAAACAATAGCAACAACAACAACAAAAAACCCATGACAGCATTAGCGAGACCACTAAAGGACATGGGAATGGTTCCGGGAAAAAAGAAAAGATGAGTAAACAAACCAGTAGTTGGCAGAACAGATATAATGAAAGTACAATACTATAGCAAAATCATTAATATGTATAATAAATATTTACTGTTAGTTTTACGAAATGTTCTTTCTTTCTTTCTTTCTTTCTTTCTTTCTTTCTTTCTTTCTTTC